CCATGTGCCGTTGGTGATGAGACTTCGAATCTCCTCGTCCATCGCCGCTTTCACCGCCTTGCCCTTCCAACTCGCTAACGCCTCCTTCACTGTCATGTTAGCGATGTCCCAGCGGTGCTCTGGGTCAGCGTGCATATCAGGGTCAAGCTCTGGAACGTTGACGTCGAACTGCGTATCGTCGAGCAGAGTGCTGTAGGAGGTCGGTGGCAGACAAGCGTGGTAGCTCAGCTTCTCGCGAGGCTTGCCAAAGTTAGAGCGGGTGGAACGTCGAACTGCGGGCTTGTCGGCAGAGACTTCCACCACGTCGCTATCGTCGGACTGCTCCCCGGCTGACAGCTCCCCTTCATCGCCGCCGATGACTTCAACAACGTCGCTCGAGGTGCCTTCATCGAACTGCTCCTCGGTCGTCCGCTCCTCTGAAGCGCGCTCCCCGTTCGCCGGCTCCCCTGTCGGCGGCTCCTCTGAAACGCGCTTCCCGTTCGACGTCTCCTTTGTCGGCGGAGACTTCACTCCGACGCCGACTTGCTCGCTGACCAGATCACGTCGACCGCCAGCGATGCCAATGGGCGGATCCGAAGGCGCCGCACCAATGCTCCCCTCATCGCTGGCGGCCGACGTGGATGCCGACTTAGGCAAGCCGGCAGCGAGCGATGGGAAGGAGGTGGGGAGAGGTGGAGGAGCGTTCGAGGAGGGCGGAATGGAGGGAGCGGGATCATCTGAAGGACCATCGTCCTCGGATTCGAGCAACGAAATCGCCGCTGGCGATGGACCCGTCGGCAGAGAAATCTTCGTCCGCTCTGACGCCGGCCCGTGCTCCGCCTTCCACTCCGCCAGAGACATCGTCTCGTAGAAAATTGCCTCCACGGTTGTGACAATGCGGTTGTCAGTGAGATCGAGCACCTCCCAGCCCTTGCTCTCTGACGAAACACCAAGGTGAATGCCCCACCGTGCCTTCGGCGCCAACTTTCCGCCGCGCTGCTGCTCCGGGACCATGAACTGCACCATGCAGCCCCACACTCGTGCCAGCGTAAGGTCCGGCTTCTGTTCGAACAGCAGCTCATACGGCGTCGTTCTCGGGGGAAGGGAGGCCCGTTCGAGGCAGTTGCGCACCCAGACGGCGTGGCGAAGAGCGAGGTGCCACCAGTGATGCTTCACCCCCATGTGAAGCAGCATCGTCCGCACAGATTCGACGACCGTGCGCATCTCCCGCTCTGCCATGCCATTCTGCTGTGGGGTGTAGGGGCAGGTGAGGTTGTGGAGGATACCCTTGTCCTCGACAAGTTCGGTGAATTTCCTGCCAAGAAATTCGCCTCCGCGATCTGAGCGCAACCTTTTCACCGTCGTCGAGGTCTGCCGCTCCACTTCCTTCAGCCACTTCTCGAAAACGACCAGCACGTCGCTCTTCTTCGCGATCGGGCGAACCCACACAAAGCGGGTCTTACGATCTTTGAGGAGGAGGAAGTAGAGGCTCCCATCTGCGGCGGCCACACGGAAGGGGCCACAGAGATCAATGTGCACGACATCGAGGGCGTTTGCAGCCTCTGATCCCATCTCTGGAAAAGTATGACGCGCCAGCTTGCCGCCGACACAGGAGGTACACGGCACGTCAGCTCCAGTGGACTTCTCGATGTCAAGGCCGATGGCAACTTCATGTTTCGCCGAGCTCAAAATCGTGTCAATGCCGACGTGCGCAAGCCTCGCGTGCCACTTAGCCGGCTTTGACTTCGTCGCCGATGCGATCGTCCGCAGAGCAACTGCTTCTGTCGCAGATGTAGTCGATTTCGAGGAGCAGGGGCGAAGGTCGGTGCAGAGAACTCGGCCGGTGTAGCGTGCTCGACCGAGCACATCTCCTGCAGCGGAAACGAGCAGCATCTCGTCACCCTCGTGCTTCAGCTTCACGCCGTTTTCCTCCAGCTGGCCAGAAGACAGTAGGTTCGCGTGCACGCCCGGAACGTACAACACGTCGGGGATGAGAACCTGCTTCCCAGTCTCCCCTTTCAGAGCAACTGTGCCACGGCCTTCGACGTTCTGAAGCGCCCCGTTGAATCCGCGTACGTGACGGATTTCTCCTCTTGGCTTCATTTCGACGAAGGCCTCCCGCGTTCCCATCAGATGATGGGAGCAGCCGCTGTCGAGGAGAACCACAGTCGGATTCGCCTGGACGGCTGCTGCGACCGCCTGGAAGTCTTCGCCAGCCTCCGGCGCCAGCGAAATTGTTGGCTCGACCACGCCAACCATCAAACAAGAGGCTTTCTTTTCGCTCGAAGCATCACCCTCTGATTTCGACGCCGTTTTCGAGGACGCAGGCTTCTCCTTGCGCGGCTGGTTGTCTCGACGACGACTGTCGCTGTCAGACTTCCCGTCCTCTGAACGACTGGCGTTGTCAGACTTTCCGCGGCTCCCTCTCTGATTGTCGTCGGACTCGTCGCGATCAGGGCAGTCGTAGGAGAGGTGGTCAGGGTCTCCACAAATGTAGCAGCGGCGTCCTCCTCGACGCGAACCACTGCTTCCGCGATCATTGTCCTTCGCCGACTTTCCGCGGTCGGCGCTCTCCGTAGACTTGGTGTTCGACGACTTTCCGCCACCGCCTCCACCTCCGCCCGACTTCCCACGCTGCCCCGTCTGACGTCCCTGCTTCGTCGGAGCAACGTAGTTAGCCTGCGGAAGGAGCTCTGAAGACCGCTCAGACTCCTGCATAAACTCGTCCTGGATGATGTGGCTCGAAAGGGAGTCCTCATTCAGAGTCTCGCGCGTGCCGGGCATGATCAACATGCGGCGCATCAGATTGTAGCTCGAGGGAAGGCCGTTGATGACGTGTGTGACATACGACGCCACCGAGTACTCGAAACCAGCCATCCGCATGTCGGCCAAAATTCGCCGCGCTCGATTGCAGTACTCGGTCGCCGATTCCTGCTCGCCCATGCGAATGGTGGCCAATGTCCTCTCCAGTTGGCTGATGTAGAGGTCGTCGGTCGCTCTGTAGGTGCGCATGATGTACTGCCACGCTTGGTAGCCGGCGTCCACTTGAAGTCGGCACTGCTTCAGCGCGACTTGCACCAGCGGCGAACAGCACCTCGAAATGACCATGAAGGTCAGAAGGTGAGCAGCGCGAAATTCCGCCAACATTTCAGAGTCGTCTTCGTCCGGCATCTCCACCTTGCCGTCAACGAACTTCTTCAATCCAGCGATCTCCAGTTGGGGTTCGATTGACTCAATCCATGTGATCAAGTCATGTCGTCCTTCGAGCGGCTTCGGCACAGCGATCTTGTCCGGCGAAAATTTGAAGTAGCCGTACGCCGGCGCGATGCCTCCGTCCCGACCAGCCGACGCATGAGTCGCCGATGTCGGCCTGGCTCCACTCCGCTGAGGAGAAATGCGTCGACCATCGATGTTGCCGTTCGAACTTCCCGCTGCCGCCGAGCGCTGAACTCGTGCCTGCATTCCGCCGACGCCAAAGTCAGCGGCCCGAATCACTCCACGAAGCCTCGTGCTGCCTTCGCTGCCGACTTGGTTACCACCGTCGACCTGGTCGTCGACGCCCCCTTCGTTGCGCGCCGGTCGGGGTGTGGCGGGCAGACCATCCGCCTCAGTACGGGTCGTTGGGTGCTCGCGCGCCCACTGCACGCGGGTTCCAAAGAGCATAACCTCCAAGGTTGCTCCGCCGTACTCGCCAGCTGCGTGGCGTGCCCGAACGTCATCTAACCGCGCCTGCAGGGTATCCTCTACGACTGCAGCGACCTCCTCCTGGTCGACCATGGCGGTTTAGACTGCCGGCCTACAACAACTTAGGTATTGAGCACTAAAGTCGGCTACTCTGAAGGTTCTAACGCGGGGCCGTTCCACGCTCACCGCACCATGCGGAGAGTCACCCTACAACGGGTGTGAACTACGAAGGAGGGCACGGAGTTGTGTGGGTGATCGTAGCGCTCTAGCAGCGTTCTAACAGAGATCTTACTACTTGCTCTGTTCACAGAGAGATTTGGCAAGAGTTTCCACTAAGGAAATTGAAAAGTACATTGAAAATTGAGAATTAGAGTACAAGAATGAGCATGCAAAGTGATATCTCTGGAATGGCATTGCAACCCCTAGCAACCATTCTGCAAGGCGAATTGCCAGCACTGCATCAGAGCGGTTCGCCAACGCTGAAACAGAGCGGTCTGCCAGCGTAGCAGAAGGGCGACATGCCAGCGCTGCAGCAGGGCGGCCTGCCAGCGCTGCATTCGCAGGTGAATATCTGCGCAGGTGTGCACCTGCCGAGTAGGTGCAGGTAGACGGTTACACCGTCAGAGACATTGCGCAGGTGCCAGGTAGAAAACGCTCCGACGGTTTCATCAGATGTCCACCGTCGAGCACGTGATGCCATTTCGGAGGTCGAATTTCGCTAAGGACCACCTGAGCGAATTTCGCATGCCCTCGCAGAGTTTCGCAGTCGCGCGAATTTGGCCGACCAGTTCGCCGAGCTGACGCTCGCCGAACAGCGCCCTTCGATCAGAGAACGCGGCTCCTCGGACAGCACCCCGTCCGTCAGAGATCGCGCGACCCAGAAGCAGATCAGAAGACGAGCTCGTCGAACAGCACCCCGTCGACCAGAGCTCGTTGACGGGCTGGTGAATCAGAGGACAACCTTCCTCGAAAACCACCCGCGGTTTCAGAGGACGGGCTGCTCCAATGCGACGATCACTTCGTCGAATTCACCACGTCGTCGCAGAGAATGCCTACGCCCAAGCGAGGGCGGGGCCTTTCACTCCGACATGGTGGACGCTTTCAAGGCTGAGTATCGTGTGATACTGATGAGACGCGCGGTGCGGTCCAATCTGTTCCACGAGGATTTCGAAGCGCCGTTTTCCCTGGTGAATTACGGTGTTATGCTGCTGTGGGTGGGCTTGGCATGGAAGGCGCTGACGGCGGCAACGATGCAAAGGAGCTGGTGGAGGGCGGGATGCGTCCCGGAGTCATGGTGGGAGCTGATGTGGCACCTGCACGGCATGTACTCGGCCGGCATGTACGATCCCCTGGTCTCTACCACGGCGGACCTCCTGGTGCTGCTACGTGAGTTCCGTGTGCGGCCGGCTATTTATATGCCGGTGTCCGATTACGTGACATGCGATGAGTGGTTAATGGAGAAGGCTGGTGTGAAGTTGGTGACGCCCACGACGCCGACGTCTTCAGGGGACGAGGGCGAGATGTGCCTGCCGGATGGGCCTCTGATGCGTGACGAACGAAGCCGACGACGTGCCATCCGCAATGTGACGAACGCGTACGTGTGTCACGCGGAGGCGCTGGGGATTGCTCCTGCGGAGGTGGCGACTGTCGTTGGCGCCTCTGATGGAGAGGTGGTTAGCCGCCTAAGCCGCACACCGAAGAAGGAGCGCACAGTTCGGGGTCGTCGGACAGTGGGTCCGTGTAGTGCGCTTGGCTTTGATGCTGTAGTGGGTGGGGGGAGTGTTTGTTGGAGGGCATGCCTCGAAGGGTGGGCTCATCTTTGTAGTTGTGGTTGCTGGTTGACAGTAGGGTTTGGTTTTGTGTGATGTTGTACTTTGTATTGCTGAGTGCTGGAGTTGCAAGCGAATGACACGGTTTACACATTATGAAGTAGACGGTGTGCAGAGCAGTGTAGTTTGGTTTGTTCAGTATATACAGTTGCTCGGAGTAGGTGTGCATTTATCGTTTCTGTGGTCCCTGTAGCGGGGGAGGGGCGACACGACAATACCGAGTATGTGTGGCGTTTTTGGCTCGAGCCGCATGTGTTCGAGGCGCATTCGTGGAGGCGGCGCGGATAATGGCGCAGGTGACCCCAAAGTGACATTTTGGTGGCGGTAATGTTGTGGTCCAGTGTGCGGTTATTGATCGCGCCAATGTTGCGTTTTACGGTCCTTGTTTTTCGGACACTTGTCGCAACAATCACGCAAGCCCCACGCAGAAAAACCTTCGGACACCCCAAAACGCAATTTCCCTTTTCCGCGAAGTAATATAGCAGTATTAGGGCAAAGTTTTCTCCTTGGTAAGCATTGGTAGTACCTCAAACCCTCATGCACGACAAAGGGGTGCCCTTGTGACATTTTCTGCGAGGCCCGCGGGCTCCAAAGAAAGATATGTTGGCGGCCGCCAGGTGTAGGTGATACCGACCAATGCTTCAAGTTCCTCCCCTCCTGTAGCGCGCATCTCAGTTCACAGGAGGCAGCGCCCGAGTATGCTAGTAGTAGCAATCCGCATGCGGTTTGCACTGCTGCAATGCGTTTATTTTCTGGCCTCACTTGCTCTTCCAGCCCCACCGCTGCTATCTGAGACTCAGAAGGAAGTTGTATATCCATAATAGGTGCAAGTTGTACATCTCAGTAACAGAGCATGTACCCGCTCACTGACTTTGTGCCTGCCTTGCGAATGCAAAAAGTGTTGAGTCGTTTCTCTCCTTGCTTGTCCCCTGTGTCAGCGATATTTCTCAGAGATAGTCAAAAGGCATGGAATAAGACGTTGTCAGGCTGGGCCGTTGGTGCTAACTGTAGCATTGCTGAAGGGCTCTCCTGTGACAAATCAGGCTCGATCACCGGAATGTGAGTGTGTGTATGCTCTTCTCTCTAGGATAGATTGGACATCATACCATGCCATGATGTCCGGCAGCATTGCTCTGTTTGATACCATTTGTTTCCAGTCCTGGCATCACTTGTGTCCCCGCCAAATTTTCTTCTCTCTTCTTTCAATCCACCCACCAACCCACATAGAGATTTGATCTATGCAGTTCTTGGAGGGTCTATTCCTGATAGCATCACCTCGCTCTCTTCTCTTATGACTCTGTAAGAATGATTTCGCATGAATAAAACAACGAGCTTGAATTTTTCATGCACATTCGTTCATGCTTAGGAAGTTTGGTAGTGGAGGTAAATGGCACGTTTGTAAATGACAACTGCCAAAAATGCAGTCAATGCAGTGGAAATTCGATGGTGCCGCCAGTGGTGTCGCCTTGATCTTTGCTCCTGTCCTCCTTCCTCTCCTCTTTTGCCCCTTATTTCGCCTCCCACACTCTTGGAGCACTACAAGCTGGAAGTATATGTTTGTACTCATTACCAAGCATTCCTCTCCAAGCATTGCGTTCTATCTGATACAACGTTGTATCACTGTGTTTACTGTTCCATCCAAACGCGTGCAATGTGCGACCACTTCCCACCGTGTGAAATTGGAGATATGAGTTATTGTAAGCTCAATGGGCCTATTCCAGCTGGGATTGGAAACCTCGTGTCATTGGATTACCTGTAAGCTGAGAACGGGTGATGCTGCAAGCACATGGTTCGCTCGAATACGGTGGCTTTTCAGGAAAAGAAGCATATGTGGTCATCCTTTTGTCTCTAGTGCTCTCTTTCCACATACTCATTCTACTTCATTTCTCTCACTACATTCTGCATGAGACTAGACATCCAATATGTCCGATTTCCACCCTTTTGCCAGATCTTTGCGGATGAATCGGCTTTCTGGGCCAATTCCAGCTGGAATTGTGATACTCACCAGTTTGACCTCTCTGTAAGATGCTTGCTTGAAGGTGGTTGCTACTAAGGAACCACAGTTTGCAATAAAAAAGCTTGTTTCATGTGGGGAGGATTATGCCCGACGTTTTCCATGTAGGCGTTGCTTACTCGGTGAAGCAATTCCTCCACCGCAGCTCGTTCTCCCTTGAGCGCTCGTTGAAGCAATGCCACCCTCGGGGTTTTTGAGATCTGTGATTTTCACACGAGTTTCACATGTTGATCCTACTACTGAAGCGTTATCTTCTAGAACTGCTGCCCTTCTACTATGAGTCAAGAAGACCCTTGATACAAATGGTTTCCAGAAGAAGAAACGGCCGGTGCTGAAGGACACAGCTGGTCGAAGAAAGCTCGTGGGCGCGGAGGATCATCGCGACCCGTTACAAGGAACGCATCGAATTACTCCCGGGACGGCAGTCTAATTCCACCTTTGACATTGACCTATGGACCTGTTTCACGAAGCAAGCAAGCTGAAATCCCCCCCCCCCCCCCCCCCCTTCCCCCCGGACCATCTGGAAGTTGTCAGCGTGAAGATGCCAGATCTGCCTCCTCGTCCATGTTCTCCTCCTTCCCCTCCACTTCTCCCTCACAGCCCACCTCATTCTCCTATGTGCCCCAAAAAATACTTTCCAACCATCCTCATTCCATCACTCCCTTGAGTTGCTTGTGTGTGCTTGCTGTCTCTCTGGCCATGCCCACAAGTCTCATCTCTTCACTTCTACCGACCCAACTACCCACACATACAGAGATCTCTCAGCCAACAATTTGACAGGCTCCATTAACAGCATCTCTTCTCTTACTAATCTGTATTATCTGTACGAAGCACCTTATTCTATTGTCTGTGCCTGAATACGAAGCAAAATGTTTAGGTCTCGTGGTAGCATGAGAGGAGCGATAAAGACCTTGAGCAGGCATAGGGGCTTGCATGCAAAGGGACGGTTTTGTTGTAGCCCACGACACCCCATGCCACTGTTGTTTCTCTAACCAAAAGGACCATTGCTTCCTTTTGTTCATTCTTAGGCTTGAAATGAACTCCGTTGCAATCATTGGCCAGTATTTGAAACGCATGGCCCTCTCTTCCTCTTCATTCTCCTTCTCCTTTATCCTTAGCTATTTTTTTTCATCGTCTGTCGTTGTTGTAGATGGAAATCACTTGAAAAAAACCATTCCGTCCTCTCTAGGGACCTCACTCAGGTTGCAAAGCCTGAAAGTATCATGGCAACAATCTCTGAAGATCCCAGCCATGATTGGCTTTGGATTGACAACATTGAAAATACCGTATGGGCCCACAAGTCTCATCTCTTCACTTATACCGACTTACCTACCCACACACGCGCACACAGAAATCTCGCGTACAACTCTTTGACGGGCTCCATTCCGAACAACATTTACTCGCGTAATCTAGAATCTCTGTACGAAGCACCTTGTCTATTGTCAATTCTTCATTTCTAAGCAGCTTCTTAGGGCCTCATGCTAAGCATGAGAGGAGCGGTAACGTGGAGGGCGCTTATGGACTTCAACTTGCGCTCACATTGATCTTTAGACGTTCTAAAAAACAAGCAGTTGCAAAGCTAGGCGTAAAGCAAAATAACAAACAGCTCGTGTTGTACTCGCCGTGTAAAGAACAATCGTTTTATGAATGAAATTTCAGATCCAAACTCTTAGCGGTTGAAATAAGCAGGAACAAACATGTTTTGGCTGTCAATGAAGAAGATCCCTATCGAACCTTCATCGGTGGCTAAGCGATGCCTCTAAAAGGAATGATTTATCTAAAAGACAGAATGCACTCCCAGGTCACCACAAAGACCAATCTCTCAGAACTGAGCTTGAACGGATACATTAGTGATGAGCTCAAGGCTCGGCAAGTGAAAAGGAAATGAGCTACAAATGGATAGGGAGGGAATCGGGGGCAATTCCTCGGGGATCGAGGCAATTCCAAGGCAATCTCCAATCTGTGAGTTGAAAATCGCTTGGTAATCACTTTTGGGTTTGGTTGGGATGTGGGAAAGTGCAAACTACAGTACGCTAGAACATAAAAGTACAAATACAACAGTTGAGATTGAGGGCTAACTCTAACACGATCTGGATCACCTTCAAAAACTTCAAATGGTCACGTCTTCACATTCCTCAAAAGTGTCTGCATGTGGATACAGGTCCAGATTTTCGCTAGGGGCAGCTTCGGAAGTCGTGCGCGCACTAGTAACCCTTGCAGGCTACAACCATTTCTCTAAGCAACAAACTTTCTCTCCACATACAATCCGTGTGTGATGAGACGACTTTTTTGTCGACTCAAGAACTTGTGTTCAAAGGGTTGGTTGAGTTGCAGGACAAGACACCCCAGGCCGCTGTTGTTTCTGTAACCAAGAGGACCTTTGATTGCCTCTGTTCATTATTGGTGTTGAAATTAACTCTATTGCAATGGTTGGCCAGCCTTTTAAACACATGGCACTCCGTTCCTCTTCATTCTCCTTTTCCTTCTTCCTGAGATATTTCTCTTCATCTCCTCTCCTTGATGTAGATGGAAATCACTTGAATGGATTTATTCCATCCTCTTTAAGGGCCTTACTCAACTTGCAGAGCCAAAGAATATCATAGCAACAGTCTCTGAATCAGCTCTGTCTCATCAATATCGCTTGTGTGTGTTTGCTGTCCCTCTGGCCATGCCTTCTCATCTCTTTGCTTCTACTGACCTACCTTTCCACACACATAGGTATCTCTCGTACAACTCTTTGACGGGCTCCATTCCTAACGGCATCTTCTTGCTTAATAAACTCACTATTTTGTACGAAGCACTTTGTCTATTGTCAATGCCTCAATACAAAGCACTTTGTTTAGGCCCCATGTTAAGTATGAGTGGAGTGGTAAGGTTGAGGGGCTGCTTAGGACTTCAATCTTGCGCTCAAAGTGATCTTCAGACATTCTCAAAAACAAGCAGTTCCAAAGCTAAGTGTAGAGCAAAATAACAAACAGCCCGTGTTGTACTCATCGTGCGAAGAATAAGCGTTTTATGAATGAAATTTAGAGCCAAACTCTTATCAGTTGAAGTAAGCAGGGACAAACATGCTTTGGCTATCAAGGGAGGAGATCCCTATCGAACCTACATCAGTGCCAACAGAGAAATGATAGGCTAAGCGATGCCTCTAAATAAACAATTTCTTGTTAGTGCCAACAGGGAAATGATAGGCTAAGCGATGCCGCTAAAAGAAACAATTTTCTTAGAAAACAGAACTCGAGGTTATCCACACCCAGGTCACCCAAACAACGAG